AATGGTGGGGATCCGTACGCATTCAAAAAGGTATAACATTTTAAAATCAGACATTATTTACCCGAGATATTAAAAAGAAATCATCGAAAAAGTTTCGATTTTCGCACCGACTCCGCGCGGAGTTATGTCGTTTTGGAACGTCATATCTCCCCGCGGAGCTATTACCCGAGATATTAAAATAAATCATCGAAAAAGTTTCGATTTTCGCACCGACCTCTATTTTGAAAAAAAAAAAAACGTGATGTAACCCGTTGCCATTTTGTCGATTTGGGTCAGAATTTTGGATTTCCTTTTTTTGATGCCAATCGATAGAACTGATCCTTACGAGTCAAAAATGGTATTAAATTCCAAAATGGGACATTATTTGACGGAATTATTCCAAATAATCATCAAAAAGATGGAATTTACGAACGAATCGGTTTTTTGTCAACAACATTTTTCAACCCATCAATGCATAATTTGTTTGAATGCCAATTAATGGTGGGGTTCCGTACGCATTCAAAAAGGTATAACATTTTAAAATCAGACATTATTTACCCGAGATATTAAAAAGAAATCATCGAAAAAGTTTCGATTTTCGCACCGACTCCGCGCGGAGTTATGTCGTTTTGGAACGTCATATCTCCCCGCGGAGCTATTACCCGAGATATTAAAATAAATCATCGAAAAAGTTTCGATTTTCGCACCGACCTCTATTTTGAAAAAAAACGTGATGTAACCCGTTGCCATTTTGTCGATTTGGGTCAGAATTTTGGATTTCCTTTTTTTGATGCCAATCGATAGAACTGATCCTAACGAGTCAAAAATATTATTAAATTCCAAAATCGGACATTATTTGACGGAAATATTCCAAATAATCATCAAAAAGATGGAATTTACGAGCGAATCGGTTTTTTATCTACAACATTTTTTATAACAAAACGATGTTTAATTTTCTTGAATGCTAATTGATGGTGGGGATCCGTACGCATTTAAAAAGGTATAACATTTTAAAATCAGACATTATTTACCCGAGATATTAAAATAAATCATCGAAAAAGTTTCGATTTTCGCACCGACTCCGCGGGGAGTTATGTCGTTTTGGAACGTCATATCTCCCCGCGGAGCTATTACCCGAGATATTAAAAAAAATCATCGAAAAAGTTTCGATTTTCGCATCGACTCCGCGGGGAGTTATGTCGTTTTGGAACGTCCGCGCGGAATTATGTCGTTTTGGAACGTCATATCTCCGCGCGGAGCTATTACCCGAGATATTAAAATAAATCATCGAAAAAGTTTCGATTTTCGCACCGACCTCTTTTTTGAAAAAAAAACGTGATGTAACCCGTTGCCATTTTGTCGATTTGGGTCAAAATTTTGGATTTCCTTTTTTTGTTGCCAATCGATAGAACTGATCCTTACGAGTCAAAAATGGTATTAAATTCCAAAATCGGACATTATTTGACGGAAATATTCCAAATAATCATCAAAAAGATGGAATTTACGAACGAATCGGTTTTTGTCAACAACATTTTTCAACCCATCAATGCATAATTTGTTTGAATGCCATTTAATGGTGGGGTTCCGTACGCATTTAAAAATGTATAACATTTTAAAATCAGAAATTATTTACCCGAGATATTCAAAAAAAATCATCGAAAAAGTTTCGATTTTCGCACCGACTCCGCGGGGAGTTATGTCGTTTTGGAACGTCATATCTCCCCGCGGAGCTATTACCCGAGATATTAAAATAAATCATCGAAAAAGTTTCGATTTTCGCACCGACCTCTTTTTTGAAAAAAAACGTGATGTAACCCGTTGCCATTTTGTCGATTTGGGTCAAAATTTTGGATTTCCTTTTTTTGATGCCAATTGATAGAACTGATCCTTACGAGTCAAAAATGGTATTAAATTCCAAAATCTGACATTATTTGACGGAAATATTCCAAATAATCATCAAAAAGATGGAATTTACGAACGAATCGGTTTTTTATCTACAACATTTTTTATAACAAAACGATGTTTAATTTTCTTGAATGCTAATTGATGGTAGGGATCCGTACGCATTTAAAAAGGTATAACATTTTAAAATCAGACATTATTTACCCGAGATATTCAAAAAAAATCATCGAAAAAGTTTCGATTTTCGCACCGACTCCGCGGGGAGTTATGTCGTTTTGGAACGTCCGCGCGGAGTTATGTCGTTTTGGAACGTCATATCTCCGCGCGGAGCTATTACCCGAGATATTAAAATAAATCATCGAAAAAGTTTCGATTTTCGCACCGACCTCTTTTTTGAAAAAAAACGTGATGTAACCCGTTGCCATTTTGTCGATTTGGGTCAGAATTTTGGATCTCCTTTTTTTGTTGCCAATCGATAGAACTGATCCTTACGAGTCAAAAATGGTATTAAATTCCAAAATCGGACATTATTTGACGGAAATATTCCAAATAATCATCAAAAAGATGGAATTTACGAACGAATCGGTTTTTTGTCAACAACATTTTTCAACCCATCAATGAATAATTTGTTTGAATGCCAATTAATGGTGGGGATCCGTACGAATTCAAAAAGGTATAACATTTTAAAATCAGACATTATTTACCCGAGATATTAAAAAGAAATCATCGAAAAAGTTTCGATTTTCGCACCGACTCCGCGCGGAGTTATGTCGTTTTGGAACGTCATATCTCCGCGCGGAGCTATTACCCGAGATATTAAAATAAATCATCGAAAAAGTTTCGATTTTCGCACCGACCTCTTTTTTGAAAAAAAACGTGATGTAACCCGTTGCCATTTTGTCGATTTGGGTCAAAATTTTGGATTTCCTTTTTTTGTTGCCAATCGATAGAACTGATCCTTACGAGTCAAAAATGGTATTAAATTCCAAAATCGGACATTATTTGACGGAAATATTCCAAATAATCATCAAAAAGATGGAATTTACGAACGAATCGGTTTTTTGTCAACAACATTTTTCAACCCATCAATGAATAATTTGTTTGAATGCCAATTAATGGTGGGGATCCGTACGAATTCAAAAAGGTATAACATTTTAAAATCAGACATTATTTACCCGAGATATTAAAAAGAAATCATCGAAAAAGTTTCGATTTTCGCACCGACTCCGCGCGGAGTTATGTCGTTTTGGAACGTCATATCTCCGCGCGGAGCTATTACCCGAGATATTAAAATAAATCATCGAAAAAGTTTCGATTTTCGCACCGACCTCTATTTTGAAAAAAAAAAACGTGATGTAACCCGTTGCCATTTTGTCGATTTGGGTCTGAATTTTGGATTTCCTTTTTTTGATGCCAATCGATAGAACTGATCCTTACGAGTCAAAAATGGTATTAAATTCCAAAATGGGACATTATTTCACGGGGAGTTATGTCGTTTTGGAACGTCATATCTCCCCTGGGAGCTATTACCCGAGATATTGGAAAAAATCTTCGAAAAAGTTTCGATTTTCGCACCGATCTCTATTTTGAAAAGAAACGTGATGTAACCCCTTGCCATTTTGTCGATTTGGGTCCAAAATTTGAATTGAGCACTTATGATAAAAAGGAACTTAAATAGCATTAAAGAAAAAAGTCGCAATAACCATGATGTTAAAATGCGAAGCAGACGCGCATGAATGTGTGTTTGTACATATATACAGAAATTCTTAAAGATGCTGCTTTATTCAATTGCGCAGTTGCATATAACTCTGGTTTTTTCTAACCGATCTTTATGAAATTTTCCACAGTATATCTTATTGTATCATAGAATATTTGTGTATACTGAAAAAGTCAATTGCATTTAAGTTTTGGGTTTAAATTGGTTGGCAATAAAAGTTGGGTTATTAACTTGATTTATAGCTCTGGGGTGGGAGCGGAGAGGTGGCGATAGGTATAAAATGAAAGATGCTTGACAAAAATATAATATTTTAGAAGCAACATATCATGTTTCGTGACTCTAGCTCTTATTATTTACCAAAATTGCCCAAAAAACAGGATATCGATATCGATTTTATCGATTGCTTAGAAACGGAGTAAGTTATCGAGTATCGGAAACAAACTCGATCTGCGCAGGCACTAGGAGCACCTACATCTAAAATATCAAGTTTGTAGCTCTTATATGTTCTGAGATCCTTGCGTTTATACATACGGACGTACGGACGGACGCACGGACCGATCGGCTATTGATGCTGATCAAGAATATACATATATTTATTACATACATTTGGATTTTGCAATATACCCTTATACCCATTTTTAATAGGTTCAGGGTATAAAAATCTCGTTACGCGTGTTGATTCAAGAGGGTTCCGGGTATACCCTAGTCGGGAACTGCAATTATTGAGATACATACTAAATATGTTTTTGCTTTACAAAAGCGTACATATTATATACCCAATAGCTCTTGAAATCTTTGAGATATGACTAAAGAAGGTTGCATATAGATATTTATTACGGAAGAAACAGAGGTTCTTCTGGTGAATTAAATGTGAAGTAACTTGAGTATGAAACCAAACGAACAATCCTCTTTACTGCTATTTAGATCCATTTATATAACAAAATTCCTTTGAGTACATAGGAATCAAATATATTTATTTTTCGATTCTTTTCGACGTTCGCCTTCAATACAACTGAACAAACTTGTTGTCCACTAAGTGATTAATTGTAAGCAATTGCGAAGCCAACAGCCAGCCTTCGTTAGGTTCCTTTAAACTTCAAAGGTGGCCAGGACATCGTGTAAGGTCGTCATTTTTGGGGGACTATTCCCCACTTATCTCTGTATTTACTTTGTGTCATGCATACTTTGCTTTTCGGTTAAGCAAACAAAATATAAAGTACCAAATACGAGACGGCTCGCAGCTCGACTTTAATTTTTGTGTAAACACTTTAAATAGCGACCCCCGTAACGAGTCCCGCGTTACAGGAAACAACATGTGTGTGTCGAACACTTGAGCCAATCTGCAAGTATGTGTGCGTGTGTGTGTGTGTGCGTGAGGGTGTGTGCGTGTATGACTGAGTGGTTTGTTTGTCGATTTGTTTCTTTATATATTTACACAAGCTTCGGCATATTTGCTTTGAGTCATTGGAACAATTTGCGATAGCAAACTTAATTGGTTAGGCCTATAAAATAAATCCATGTAGAGGAACTTTGTTGCAGTTAACTGGCACTCATAACCAGAGCCTCTCCAGCAGCCAAGCTGAGACCGTTGCGCTCAAACAGAGCCCTTATATATAAATATAATTGAAAAGAGTTTAAGTTTGTCAATTGTCAAGTAGACCTAATCACTTACCCCTCTGCCTTTGTGGAGTTCAGGCTGCGAATCTGCAAAGTCAAGTGAGATGGCAAAGTCTTGTCAAACTGGTCAAGATCAATTGTGGTGCCGCTGCTGCCTAAGTTGGCCACATAAACAATGCTGGGAGATCCAGACAAGTAGCTGGGTAGAAATAAAGATAAAGATTGTTAAAAAAATATACAGAGAGTTTAATGGAACAAGTAAAAACCAGAGGGTATTTTTAGCTGGAATTTTAGAGGTCATGCTTTCGCGGCTTGCCAGCTCTCAAAAAGGTATATGTGCAAATCGTTTGAAGATCTTTGTCTGACGCATATATACGGCCAGAGCCCTAATTATGTGTTAGTTTTCTGAACTGATGTTTACTCAGAGTCTTGTCAGCATTCGAACAAGAACGAAGGACCAGAAGCGACAAAGCTTGTGATCGAAAGCCCTGAGAACTCCTGAACTCTTATTAATTAAGCTTAGTTGAGTCACGCCAATTAAGTTAAGTTAACCTCTGCTGAGTTTAGTTAACCACTCACCGCTTTGCTACAAAGACATTTTCGTTGAGAACAGCATATTTGGTAGAGCCGTTCTGTAGAGTCTTGGAACTCTTACGCAGTGCCACCAGCGCCTTGTATATCTTAAGATGGGAGCGAGTGGCCGCCGATTCCACCTCCACATTGACGGTTTTATAGTTCTCGGCAAGTGGAAGCCATGTCTTAGTGGCTGTGGAAAAGCCCGCATTGGTGCCACTTGTCCAATGAAAAGGCGTCCGTGATGGATCACGTGTGAGCTGTTCGTAGAGGCTCTGGTTGGAATTGCAGGCAGCAGGATCTTGAGTATCCTCCCAGCTGATCCAACCATCCGTCATGCCCAGCTCCTCGCCCTGGTAGGTAACACTTCCGCCGGGCATAATCATGACCAGCATATTCATGGCATCCGTGTTGGCCACCCCATAGCGACTGGCCGCTCTGCGCTGATCGTGATTGCCAATCACCCAGTTGGCAGTGCGTCCGGCAGGCATGTTCAGAAGCCAGTTGTCCACAGCTGTCTTAATAGAGCTTGCCGAGACGCCGTTACTCGCCGGCACGGTAATCAGATTGAAATTAAAGGGCAGATGAGCGCCCTCCACCGAGCGATTGCCATAGAACTGCATGGTGTAGGCAGGCGGGGCGTATGTCTCAATAAGAAGTACTCGAGTGTCCCCGCCATAAATGCGCTGATGGTCGTCCATCACAGTACGCCACTGGTAGGCCATATCGATGGTCTCAGGTCTGTTCTCAATCAGCTCGCTCTTCAAATAGTTGCGACTATCCACGTCGTCGGTTAAGCCACTCACTTCTTCGTCCGCATACTGGCCATTCTCATCCATCTCGACCTCGAAAAGCACCGGCACCGCATCACATCGGAAGCCAGCGACGCCCTCGTTCAACCAATAGCGCAGCACGCGCTTCATCTGAGCTACCACATCCGGATTGCGGTAGTTGAGATCCGCCTGCTGCACCGCAAACTGGTGCAGGTAGTACTGTTGACGCTCCTCGACCCACTGCCAGGCACTGCCTCTGAATGCCTGCAACCAGTTGGAAGGAGGCTCCCGCTCTCCAGTTTCAGCATTGACCTTTCCGTCGTGCCATACATAGTAGTCCTCGTAGCCCTTCTCCCGCTTTACAGACTTCTTAAACCATTCGTTCTCATCACTGGAGTGGTTCGGCACAAAGTCCAGAATAATTTTCAAATCCAGCTCGTTGGCTTTCTTAATAAGTGCTCGAAAATCCTCTAATGTGCCATACTCCGGCTGTATGTCAAAAAAGTCAGAGATATCGTAGCCAAAGTCCACCATGGGAGACTTGAAGATGGGCGATAGCCACGCAGCTGTCACGCCCAAGTCCTTAAGATACTCCAACTTGCTAGTAATACCATTCAGATCGCCGATGCCATCGCCATCAGAGTCCATGAAGGAGCGTGGATAGATTTGATAGAACTGCGCTGTTTGCCACCAGTCCTTCGAATTGTTTTCTGCTGTTGTTGTGTCCTGGCATGTCTGGCCAAGAAGCACCAGGCTGAGCATAGGAATAAGTACTTGTAAAGGTTGCATTTTAATCACTTGGCCAGTAGACGGCCAGAGCCGTGGTTTTTATACAAGCGGCCAGCTATAAGCTTACGCTGACCAGATCAACTGGGCTTAATTGATAAAACACGCTTCAAGTAGCCTAGGAATTTGCCAAGCACTTAAACAGTAAACATTGCGAGTCAAGTACACACTAGAAAAGGTTGCGACAAGTGGGTGCAAAAAAAAAAGAATCTCAAACGGTTAAATGTGCATTTTTCGTGAGGTACAGTATTTTACACCTAATGTAGAAGCACAAATACCCTTTCCCAATTGCTGGCCAATCATTTATATTTAGCTCTTCGCTTCTCTTCTTGTTTCCAATTTTACTTTAAATATAAAAATAATAATATTTCATTTAAATTTATTTAATATTATATATATTGCTTATTTGAATTTATAATTTTCTCAAAGGCATTTTGGCAAGACTAATCCCTAACGAATTTAATTGAATGTCTGATTGTATATACCCTTCTTCATTTAGTTAGTACCTGATTTTAACTTGCTTAAGCTGCTGACATTGGCAATTTCCACTGTTGAAAGCTTATCAATATTATCTGACTTTCCGCTCAGTGGGTATATAAAAGTACCTGACTAGTTATACAGCTGTACACAATGATTTTATTTTCAAAGAACACGTTTGCCTGCCTGAGTCTTGTTGTTTTGGCTACCCTTGGCCAGGCATGCCAGGACACATCAGCCACGGTGAACACCAAGGACTGGTGGCAAACAGCGCAGTTCTATCAAATCTATCCACGTTCCTTCATGGACTCTGATGGCGATGGCATCGGCGATCTGAATGGTATTACTAGCAAGTTGGAATATCTTAAGGACTTGGGCGTGACAGCTGCGTGGCTATCGCCCATCTTCAAGTCTCCCATGGTGGACTTTGGCTACGATATTTCTGACTTCTTTGACATACAGCCGGAGTATGGCACATTAGAGGATTTTCGAGCACTTATTAAGAAAGCCAACGAGCTGGATCTGAAGATTATTCTGGACTTTGTGCCGAACCACTCCAGTGATGAGAACGAATGGTTTAAGAAGTCTGTAAAGCGGGAGAAGGGCTACGAGGACTACTATGTATGGCACGACGGGAAGGTCAATGCTGAAACTGGAGAGCGGGAGCCCCCCACGAATTGGTTGCAATACTTTCGGGGAAGTGCCTGGCAGTGGGTCGAGGAGCGTCAACAGTACTACCTGCACCAGTTTGCGGTACAGCAGCCGGATTTGAACTATCGTAATCCGGATGTGGTAGCTCAGATGAAGCGCGTGCTGCGCTATTGGCTTAACGAGGGCGTCGCTGGCTTCCGATGTGATGCGCTGCCACCACTGTTTGAAGTACGCCCTGATGTCCAAGGTCAGTATCCCGATGAGGTGGTGAGTGGCGCCACGGAGGACACGGAAGATCGCGACTATTTGACAACGACGTACATTGAGAACCAGCCGGAAACCATTGACATGGTGTATCAGTGGCGCGAGGTGCTTGATGATTATCAGCGGATTCACGGCGGCAACTCGAGTGTGCTGCTGATTGAGACGTACTCCCCGGCCTGGTTCACCATGCAGTTCTATGGCAACCGGTCTGTAGATGGCGCTCACCTGCCATTTAATTTCAACTTGATAACTGTGATGGAAGAGAGCGGTTTGAGTGCCAGCAATGTGCAGAAGGCCATTGATCTGTGGCTGCAGAACATGCCCGCCGGACGCACTGCCAACTGGGTGGTGAGTGGTGCAGATTGTTTTGGAGCTTGTTGAGATAATTACTGAAACAGCTGTTGCTTTTTAGCTGGGCAATCACGACAAGCGCAGGGCGGCCAGTCGACACGGTAAGGAGCACATTGATGCTATGAATATGCTGGTCATGATTTTGCCTGGCGCCAGTGTCACGTACCAAGGCGAGGAGCTGGGAATGACTGATGGCCAAATCAGCTGGGAGGACACTGTTGATCCCTGGGGCTGCAATTCCAATCCAGAAATTTACGAGAAATACACCAGAGATCCCGCACGCACGCCCTTCCAATGGACTAACGGCACAAATGCTGGCTTCTCAACTGGCTCGAAGACTTGGCTGCCTCTGGCTGCTGACTATGAGACTATCAATGTGGCCACGGAATCCGAAACGGAGCACTCCCATTTAAAAATCTACAAGTCGCTGGTGGCGCTGCGCCGCAGCCTGAAAACGCTGCAAAACGGTTCCACCAAATATGCGGCGATTACTGAGGATGTTTTCGCCCTGAAGCGGTGAGTTGACGTTGAAAATTCCCTTTAAAAGTACTTTAAAACTATCTTTCGTACCTTTAGTTCGCTTTCTGGAGATGCCAGCCTTGTGTACGTGTCCAACTTCGGCACGGCAGATGTTACGATCAATCTGGAAGAGTTCGATAAGACCTTGCCGGCCAGCTTGCAACTGCTCGTGCGCAGCTTGGAGTCCAATAAAAAAGAGGGGTGAGTAAATATAATATAATATAGTACATACATGTCACAAAAATTGATTCCGCTTTTATTATATAGTGTTGGATACGCCACCCAGGATCTGCTGCTATCGGCTGGAGAGGCTTTGGTTTTAAGCACTGAATAATTCAAATGCTGTTGAATTAGTTAGTATTTTATTGATAGTTCTTTGTTTAATGCTTTGTAAGTTCTCGTAAATATATGCCACCCAACACGATTTATCGGTATTTAATTTACGTATGTATACATATATATACTATATAATTTCATGTATTTTAATTTTCAGAGACATTCAGTTATATGTGTAAATATGACTTGTATTATCATATGAATTTTCTTGTTTAATTTTGTATATTTTATACATTTAATACACACAGAATATTTAATACACATGCATTTTGCTAACAATTAAACACTTTTTAATTTGGCTAGACTTTTTTTCAATTTTGTAATGTTTACTTTAATTAATTTTATTTGCGGGTTTTCCTTATCACCTCTTCATATCAACTTATATTAAGTATTTTGTTATAAGGGGTAGAAATGCTAAACTGCAGCACATTCAATAATTACGAATACACAAAAAGAACATACAACTATGCTATTTTAGGTATGTATATATACGTGTAAGTTTGTATATGTACAGCTCGCTTACAATTAAATGTTGGCTCTGGACGCCTTTTTATCCACTTAACAATTAAATCTACCATGTTGCTGGGCTCAAGCAGCATAGTAAACGCAATTGTTAAGGCGCCGTCATTGCCGCTACGTTACAAGGGGGTTGCGGGTGTGTTGCATGTGCTGCATGCAACCCCTTTGTAACATAATCACACCAAAATAAAAATTCACTCGAGTGCGCAAGTTGTTACTTAGGTTACGACTTAGCCTAACAGTTAGTACAAATACAAGATAAGTTTTAGTTTTGGGTTCAGAAACACACACATTTTTGAAATTATATCACATTTTTTTTCTTTTTGGTAATCTTTGCTGCGATTGCAAACAAACCCCATGCTCTATAACTAGTTAAGCTTAAAGATAAAACATTTAAAACGTTTCGCAATTATACATTTAAATGTGGCTGACAATTATTTTTGACTCTTCGTTGGGGTTATTGCTAAAATTGTTGCAACTTGTTTTTTTTTTTTTTGCGCAACAGATTTTTCACAATGTATCTTTCAAGTGGCGATGCAGTCAGGGCAGGGAGGTTGTCTAATAACAATTATTCGCGACTAAAAAAACAGCATTAAATGCTTAAAGCTTAATGAAATCAGCGAATGAAAATAAAGCACACAAATTATGAAAATTAATTAATTTGTACATATCGTTCTCGATAGAAATGTAATTTATGTATCGCTAAAGCAAACAATAACATTTAAATTAAAAATATAAAAGTCGAATCCATAAAAAGAAAAACCTAAAATTTATATATGTATTTATTTTATACAATTTTAAGATATTTAGCACTATAAAAAAAAAGTATTTAATATAAAAAAATACATATAGAAGAATATTTTTTTACTTTTTGTACATACAACCTTGCAAATAAATGATGACTATATAAAATAATACTCTTTATATTATTTGAAAAATTCAACCTTGCATTCCCTGTCTTTGGATCGCTCTGTATGCATTTTAAGATTTCTATCTAAAGATACCCTCACTCATCCTTTAGCTGCGGCCTATGGCTGACCACAGCTTAAACTGGAATTGCGGAGCGCTTCTTGCCGCTTCCGTTGCCGATCGTTGTGGCACTTCCGTTGCTACTGCCAGTGCTTGCAACATCGCTGCCAATGTTGTTGCTGGCGGCAACTTCACTCGCTGCCAGTTGTGCTTGATCCGCTTGAACTGGATTGAAGCACTCAAGTTGCTGTTGCTGTTGCTGGCGTTGCTGCTCCCTTAGCAGCTGCTGTTGCAGTTGCTGTGCGTTTAGCTATAAATTGGTCTGCAGCACCGGCGCTCGTCTGCTGCCGTTTGATGTGGCCGTGGGCACAACTTCCGTAGCGGATGTTGCATCCGTTGCGCTAACCGAAACCGTCGATGCCGTTGTCGCCGTTGTTGTTGTTTCTACTGTTGTCGTTGTTGCTGCTGTTGCTGTTGCTGTTGCTGATATTGGTGTTGATGCTGTTGGTGTTGCTAATGGACTGCTGGCCATGTGCTTGTTGGCCGTGCTGACTACCACAACAACATTGGCCTGGCCATGTTGCTGCTGATTGATTTTGTTGTTGTTGGCCACAACCTGCTCGTCGGTTGGCTCAGTGCTAGTGCCATTGGCAGTGGGTGTGGCCGTGGTTGTATTATTTGGCACGTATTGATCGGCATACGGAATTTGGTTGTAAGCATTGCAGTCGAGGGACGCAAATATGCTAGATAACGCAATCGTCTGTGTGGCCATTTCGCACAATTTTTTTGCCTTAATCGAGTGCTCTGCAAAAGATCGCCACACATTTTTGATGGGCCGGGCAAGAGGCGAGTTCGGGTACCTACCTGTTTCAGTGGGCGTGATATGTTTTTGTAATTTCTCCTCCTGTGCACAGGTGGCGGCAGTCACAACCGCAGCGGCCATCATTGAGGATGGGCCAGTGCCCGCGGTGCGATGCATGTTGCCATAACGCGGGGGCATCATGCTTTGGCGCACATTACGCTCCGGTCGAACGAGTATTATGTAGAGCTGCGTGTTAACAAAGTTGAGAAGTAGAAGCGAGTCAGTACAAAGACAAGCTTGTAACGGTAACAGTAACAACTTAAATTGGCCCATATTTGCTGGGGCCATTCATTAATCATACGCCCCATTGTACGTTCCCTATTTACGACTTACGCTACGACACGCCCCCAACAAGGCTGGAATACTGGCGCCATTAGTAATATGCCGTTTTTTGTGGTCGCGGTAATTATTATCAAAGGCCACTGACACTGAGACGGCGTTCAACAATTCCAGGCCATTAAATTGTCAACGCTCCTTGCTGGCCTTAGCCGAGGCTCAACGTAACGTTAAGCTCTTGCGTTACGTAACGCGCTGCCATTTCCGGTATGGTGTAACATTGTTTGCCAGCCATTTGCCGCCGTTTATTATTGTTTTTCTCCTACAAACAAACAACGGAACACGGCACAGGAAGCAGCACAGCCGGACGCTAACTCGGACGGAGACGGCACACGGCACCCGGCACCCGGCACCAGGCAAAGAAATACACAAAAAGGCAGCTCCGACTCGCCGGCAAATGGTGGTCGGAAGTTGCTTACTAGCCTGTCCCCACTTGTGTGCCCTGCCTCAAGGGGGCATCGCGACGCGTCGTGCAGCCAGTTCCATAGCTTGGATCTGGTTTGTTGCCTTAGTTCACTGATCCCAGTTGCTTTGTGCTGGACTATTTGCTGTGGTCTCTTTTGTAGTTGGCAAAACAGCAAATACTAAATTGCATTTTTATGGCTTGAGGTGTTTATGGCAGCCACCTGCGTGAAAACATGTGTGCGTACGTCTTGGCTTGGTTGTGGCTGTTAGTGTAAAGGAAAGTGTGCATTATGCGACACCTGATAGCTATGTGGGCCCACAACCCTTCATTGTGCTGCTTAATAACGACAGCTACGCTTAGTATTTATTGCATGGTAGAAACATTTTATGATAACTAGTTGGGAATTGCTGCCTAACAAAGGAGCTCTTAAGGCAAAGTTCAGAGATACAGAGTTAAAGGAAGTTTCTTCTTGTAAATTATTTGCGCCATCTACATTTAGAATGCTAGCTATTCAAAAGTTTGCGTACTGTAAGCGGACAGCGAGTTCAGTTAATATATATAAGTTAGGGCATTTGCTATGTCAGCTCTGGCCTAGGTGCAGGCACCCTCGACTAATCTACCTATGCACTAATTTGTTTGACAAGAGAGCAAGCCTAAGGACATCTGCAGTAACTTCTTGTGCAGCTCCAACAGCAAAAAAAAGACCCAAAGTGAATCCCAAGTTCGGCATTTAATGGCAAACTTTAAGATGTCAACTAAATGTTACAATTTTAACGAAGTGCGCCTTTGGGCCAAATAAGTTGTAAATCTCCGAAACTGTCCAAGTAAGTTGTTAGTGAACTTTTATGCGCAGAGTGCAGTCAGCTCAAGCCAAAACCTCCGCTAATCCCCCACCTAGAGCCAAATTCTTGGCCCCCAACAGCCATAAATTGCTAAAGATATAAAGCTTGTCTTGCGGTTCGCCGCAATTTAATGGCTAATAATGAAGCATTATTAAAAATGTTGTGGAAATGTCATGAACTCCTGGTCAAAGGAAGTGAGCATAGTGAGAAGAGGCGGACACTAGTTTGGAGTTCATTGCATAGTGCTTGCACTTTTGTCTGTTGACACTTAAAGCTACTTAGTTGGACGCTCCAATAATGCAACGAGATGTGGCTGAGCGAACTTTATTCAAGGTAGCGCTTTACGGAATTGTAATTGTAATCAGCACGGGATCAGATTGGAAACAAAATACCTCAATTATTAATAGGAAAGATAAGCAATAAATGGGCGGCCAATGTGGCACTCAATTCGCGCTTTATCAGACGACGTATAAATTATTAATAGCCACTCATCTTACCTTTGGCGAGAACAGACACGCAATCGTCACGCTGGCGGACAGGCTAATTGTCACCGACATGCTCGTTATTCGCAGCGGCACGTGATTGGCAGTTCCAAAGTACAGTGGCACAAAGGCCAGCCAAATGACGCAGGTGGTGTACATGGTAAAGCCTGGAATGATTCAATGGATGCAGAGCACATTAATGCCAAAATCGATTAGAATCTCATCTTATTAAAATATACATCAAAAGCATAATGTTCATAATAGATGCAAGGAACTCACTCTTACAATTTAGGTACAGCATTTTAAACTCTAATTTAACTTTGACTTCAAACATGTTAGTTGCAAGAATTTTAATTTAAATTTTGCTTCCCAAAATTCAAAAGATATTCAACGATTTAAGCGAGCAGTAAACGATAAGCTTAAAAGAAAACCAAAAAAACTGAGCCCTTTCTGGTTAATTTTTGTTTTTAATTGTATAGTTGTAATTTTTATATAATTAATAAAACTTCCCATACTATGATTTCATATGGGAGATTATCGCAAGAAACAAAACCGCAAAACTTTAAAAATCTTTTTGAAAAGAAGTTATCCATAAAAAAAAATTATTTTCGTTATAAGTAAGGCTGCAAAATCATAAAAAATTACTTTTAATGCATTTTAAATTATATATAATAATATTATAATTTTCAATTGATTAATAAATTTCAATCGAATCTGAAAGTAACATATCGCTGCAGAATGAAAAATTGAAACTTTAAACAGCATAAGTATTTCAGACATTTAAGTTCTATCTTAAATATCGTAGCGTGTTACAAATCTATTTTGAAAGATACTGCATCAAGATACATAAAAGTAAAGTATTATTAGCTCTTGCTGTTAATAGACAATATATGCTGGAGTATATTAAAAATAAGCATAATTATATAGAGGACTCACCGATATGCTTAGATTCATTGAAAGCCTCGGGTATCTTGCGGGTAAGCACAGCATAAACGGTGCACACCACAATCAGGAGAATGGGATAGAAGAACGCAATCATGTAGGAGGCATCTATGTAGGAGTCGCACACCAGCAAATTATCCTCGCGTGTCGGATAATGATGCATAGCGTGTGATGGGGCAATTACCATCCAAACGCCATTAATGAGTATCTGCAACGAGAGCGCATCGCAAAGTTAAGCTAAATGGGTGCTGCATGAACGTGCAGAGAGATCCTCCACCTACCTGCACAGAGACTAGGCACGTGCAAATCACCAGCTGCGATTTTGGGCTAATGAATGAGGGCCGTTTGGCTGACTGTTTGCCAGCCTTGAAGATGCGCGCTATGCGATTCGTTTTGGTCAACAATGCGGCATAGACAACCGTGAAGCAGAAGCCCACGCTAAAGCTGCAAGCAGAGGGCATGACAAGATAGTTTAACACGATGAACCTTTAGCTGCACTCACACACTCGCACACACTTACCGCTGAATGGCGCAGACAATGTTCGTTGGCTTCAGCACGAGGGCAAAGGTTACACCATAGCACATAAATATGCCAGCCAGGAGTATGTAGCTCAGCTCACGACCAGATGCGCGCACAATGGGCGTGTCGTTGTGCCTGGACGAAAGATGGTTGGGCGAAAGAGCGAGAGCACAAAGTTATAATAGTTATATAAATACCAATACCAATGCAATGCCAATTAAACGAACTTGAGTCCTTGCAACTGGCGTAAAGACATAAAAGTTGTTAATTGCCACAAGCACACACACATCCGCGTACACTTTGCATTTGGTCACACAGAGAACTCAATTAAATTTCAGATAGATTCAGTTACACAAACACGTACACAGACGAAAACTCACCTGACAAACACGCCCACGACAAAGAAGGTTATCAATATGCCTGTCGCACTGAACGCCATGGCGCCAATGGCCCAAGCGGACTCGGGTCTAAGGTAAACCTCCGGTATGGGACGACAGTACTGCTTGTGAGCATCGGGCAGGGTGCCCAGTTTGCAAACGAGGCAGTGAGTTTCATCAACCGGATGCCGTATCTGCAATTCGCGAAAATTTAAAATAAGATACAAATATTAAATGATGTGGAATTGGTAATTAACGGGGCACTGCCCGAATCTGTTGCATTAAGAACTGAATAAGAAGCCAGAGAAATAAATAGTGGGTGGAATAAAAATCACGAGTATATCGCATAAGAAGCTTTACGGCTGGCACGTTACTGAAAGCAAGTAAGAGCACTTCAGTTGAGAGTGCACGACTAGAAGATACCCTACCGCCAAATGAAGTAGCTTTCTGTGATACCGAGACGATAGTCATAAATGCAGCTTCCGCTACACACTCTTTTGCCTTAGCTACTATAGCTTATTATTATTATAATATTATTATAACAAAAAAATGAAAGTCAAGTGTCTAGCTTTCATAGATTCTGTTATCGACTCGACTGTTGAATATATAAAATTTATTGGAGCGAAGATACTTCCTTTTGCCTTTGACATGCATTTCCACAAAACCATGAAATAAATTTCAGATAATAATCAGAAGTTTTTAATGGAAAGACAACAATTTTAATGTAATATATCTATATATGATGACCTTATTATTATTAATCTGTTAATTCAGCTGTAGATGCTGATTAATAATGGCAATACTATTGAAATCATACGTTCATTAAATACCTGAGTACAGGGTATACAAGAAGCATACATTTACATACAAGATTACATATGAAAAGAGAAAAGGGAAAAGCCAGCAAACACTTTGAACAAAAGTTAATCTCTATGGTAATAAAAAGCTTATTGTGATTTTCTCAATTAAAACTTGTCTGCGTATTGAGTTAAACTTAAATAAACTGTAGCCTTGTCATACATTTATGCGGGAGAGAGTACTTTTTTCTGTGAAATTCATTGAATACCCTTAATGTTGTTCACGTTAAATGAATGATGCAGCTCATTCAGCCACACTCTTCGCACAGTGTGCTTTTTTTATGGTCCTGGACATTGAGCATGGAACCTATTCATGCTCTAGTTCTCGCAATAATTCACTACATTACATTTCAATCAGGACAAAAGCCTTGCAAATAAATTACGAATTTTGCGCCACTTGCTTGCGGCAGGCCCCAGTTTCCCATAAGCTCAAAACAAGCGACCAGCTGAATGCATTCCATTGCATTAGAGCCGCTTTCAAAGGAAGAAAGGGGAAGTTTCACTTACTTGATAAGTCGTACAATTGAAACAGTGCCAACAACAGCTCTCGCCCTCAACGTATCTCTTGGCCTGACCACGCTCGCAGGGCAGACTGCAAACGGATTCCGGTGGCGTGGGATGCAACAGCTTGAACTTTACCTCTGGAGTGTGAAAGGAATCAGCATAAGTTGCACCAGGCTGTCAGTGCCACCTGTTGAGTGGTGTCTACTTACCGGACATGTTCAGGCGCAGTTCGCCCTCGTAGTACTCGCCCACCTTGACCCAGCGGTACTGACCCGCCACAGACTGCTTGAAGTGGATGATGTTATAGCGCGCGGGCCCGTCGCCGTTGCCGTCGAAGCGAAAATCATCGCCGCTGAGGCCTGCACACAATAAATGTTGGGGATTAAATGCGTTTATGGCTTGACGCCCAGCACAAGAACCATGGCCAGAATCAGAACCGTGAACCCACAGCCCAAAGCTCGAGCAGGCTTCTGCTTATCAGAAAATTGACAATTTGCGCGTTTTGCGTCAATCGGCGGCCTGCCTGCTGCTAGCTGGCTGCTGTGGTGGCCTGGCCTAGCCTGGGCTTTCTTGTATAATTTATTGAATTTCAAATTGAGTTCAATGACGATGACAAGCAAGTCAATTTTCCACTCGAAAGCATGGCCAATGCGCATTGTGGGCACAGCTATGACTATGACTACGACGGCTGCAGGAATCCACACTATAAGCCTTAGATATAACCACTTAAATTATTTGCACAACACTTGCGACATTGACACGCACTCACACACTTAAACAAAAATTAAGACCAGAAGCCGTCATCCAAATTATCCTATAAAACTTTCGTTAAATGTTTTACCAACCGCTTGAATTATGCAGCTTTCCAAAGCACTTTTAGTTGTTCGAATTGTATTTCAATCATTATATCCATGCCTCCCCATTGGCCCTTAACATAGTTACTGACAGTATTTGAACTATATTTATGCATATATTCTAGAGATTTACTAAGAGCATATGCCCATGAGCATAAAGTCTAAAGCGTAATTTTGTAATTATGTAGTCAGCCGACATGAGTATGCGTAGTACTCATACGCGAAGCGTAAACGGGACTGAAATCAAAATGAGTAGGAGGCTGAAGCAAACACCATATCCGAGTGTATAGAGCATATATACTGATTAATCAAATTAACATTATATATCTCGAATCCTTGTAAAAATTGAAAATAATTTTTAAAGATCTAAACAATGATGGTAAATATTTAATGCAACTATTATTGCTATTAATATTAGTAGGGATTGAATTTAACATTCAATTTTGAATATTTTTTTCGAACTGATAAATTGATTTGAAATATTTATTTGATTTGAAACAGATAATCAGAAAGTTGAACAGAAATTTAATTGTTCTGTTTTTGCTTGAGGCTATTTGATATCTAAATCGATATCAATTTATTTGTTTTGCTGCCCTCACGCTCTGCTTCTTTGGCACACACAAGTTCGTAATTAGTAAATTTACCGTAAATTTGACTTTGCGATTACTCAACTTACCCTTGAATTGAACCTTACGCAAATATTTGAGCAAATCAGCACCCTTGGTCGGCTTCATGGCATCGCAGAGGGACGGACGACCGCCGCACAAATCGCGATGCATGTCCCTGCGAGGATTGGGGCAGTTGTTAACAGCTATTGGCTGGCTTATTGCACGGATGTGTGTGCTTTGGGTTGAGCTTACCTCAAGGCATAGGCAAATGCCATCACCGCATCGCTAACGAACTGCAGTTGATCCTCAAAGTCGGTATTCTGCCGGGATAGGCGTTCCTTGGTGGTGCAGGTACGAGTGTAATTGTTGTACGGTGTGCTGGTGCTGCCCGGATAGCGACATTGGAAATGGTCCTCCCAGAATTCTGGAATGTGAGTGCGGGTAATTAACAAAAGCTCCCCAGGCTGAACAAAGGAAAAGGCAAAGGAATTTTGCGTACCCACAAACCAGGGATTGCGCTGGTTATTCTCCACGGTCAGGTTAAGAAAATATTCCTCGAAGCCACGCACAGGATTCGCCTGCGGCTGCACAGACAATGTTCCCTCCACCTACAAAAGAAAGAAATGATAACGCAGACGCACGTTGCGTATGCGTAATTAATTTGAGTTCAGTTTCGGCTGCCACTCTAAGGGTTGTGGGGCTTTGGGTGGCAAATTAATTTGCCAGAGCCTCGCCCTGTGCCAGGCATACGAAATACACAATTTATTTCAATTAAACCATAATTCATCATAGTAGGGCTACATTTTGTCTGGTTGGTGCTTTTGTTTGTTGCCATCATTTATAAATTTTTAGTTGGTGGCATGTCACCGCACGCCTCCATCACTCATCTATGGGCGTGGCACATCAACAACTTGCCCAACAATTCATTAATCACACTTTCCCGCACATTTACGCTCATAATTTCCGTGTGGCACTGACACCACAACATTTAATCTACGGCTAATAGTTTCTGCTACTTGCCTCTGGCTCATAGTCATCCGAGACGAGATTTCGTGCACTCCAGCCGTCGGAGCCAATCCAGGAGAAGGCGCCTGTTGCATTCGCACGCCTCACCGCCCGCATCACTTGCCGCACTTCCTGATCGGAGCCGAAAATGATAGCTCCTGTTCGATGGGCAAAATTTCCATGTTTGATTTTCAATTTTCCAATTTCGATGCGAAATGCCAATGGACACGAGGCGTAAAATAAGAGAGAGATAGAGTGAGAGCGAAAAAGAGAGAATGTGCAAAAATTAATTTTAATTGCATTAAATATTAAGTAAGCGGATTTACATGCAGTAAGCCAGCCAGGCCTCTGACTCTTCTGTGTCCATTGATATAATTCGTTGAATATTTCATTTTATTCTGCGAAGACCTTTTTCACTGCAAATTGATTGCAAATTGCATTTTGAGTCCATGCATGAGTACAGCATTTCTCATTTATTAACATTTCTGACATTAACCGTATTAAGTAACCTGAAGCTGTGTATAGACAGTTGACCAGATTTATAATTCAGGTTGGCCCAAGTCAGTCTAAAACACAACAAAGTATCACTCGAAAAGACGCCACGCTCTTCACATCAGTTGATTCTAACACAGCAATTTCGTTACCGATAACTGAGAAACTTTCATTAATTCAAATTGTTTCACGTCAATTAAAGAAGGGAAAAAACTTAAATTTGTATTGAACATGCATTCTCATCCTCTTCCGTCTCTTTAAGTTTTTCAATGTCGTGAAACCGAAAATATTTATCAATCTACAAAAATAGCAACTCTTAAGCTGAAGCTTATTTAAAATCGCTGTCCGGGGGCTCATAAATATCTTTCTGCTCGGCATGCCAAATAATGCACAAGCGTAAAAAATGGAATTCGGAGCCCCAGCGCCGAATTCTCTACAGTTACAATACTTTATTGCCGACACCTTTTGAACATTCAACATGGCAAACCTTAAAAAAACGCCCTTTATATAATTTTTCAACTAAATTTTAAATGGCGACAGCGCAAAATCCGTCAATCATACGCCCATAAAAAAATTTATTCAATTCGCTTTGTATACCCTGTTGACAGACGGTGAAACTTTAGGGTATGATGAAGGATTCGAAATGTCAGTAATTAATGGATAGAAGCAGTATTTTAAAGTGTAAAGTTTTATGTGATAAATAATAACTGGAAATCTAGTATGTGCCATTGGGTTCACAAAGGTTAGATGGGCTGTGGGTTACTTAGAAGCTAGCTCTAGGGTATTTTCTAGTCTATCAATGTTGCCTAAAGAATTTCCACTTGATTTTTTATTGCTTTGAGGTATTCGAAATGTATGTAAAAGTCGCTTTGATTTGCAAATATTAATCAAATGCCAGCTACAGACTACCAAGAAATATATTAAAAATAATTACCATCACGAGCTCTTACGCATATCATTAATCAGGAGCGACTGCCAATGAACAACAGATGGCGCTACATTCGCTCCAGTCGCTCGAGCTGCTGTTGATTTACATAAATACGCCATCAGTAGTCGTTAAAAAATTGACTGGCTATCGAGAGGAGAGGAGCGAGCCTTTCGAAAAGGGTTGCTCAACAATCATTATTTATTGTGATTTGTGATTTGACGCAATTTACCAAACAGAGTCCCATTCAATACCCTCTGCGCCTGTTCGACTCATGTATTTCGCGCTTTTCCTCAGATGATTAATCAAACTGACAAAGTATTTTCCCTCGCACGAATATTGTACACATGTGAGGGGTTACTCCACTCGTAGTTCTGGGCGTTACTTGAAAAATTATACTCGAAATTGTATATGTAACTGCGACTTTCTTAACTGCCAACGCGGGTAAAGTTTACCTTGTAATGCGGCCCTATAGAAGGGTGTTTCCAAGTGCCTTACAAGCTTTTGCTTTTTATCGCTTCGGATAAGTTAAATTTACTACGGAAAAAAATGTACAAAATAAACCTACAAACGTAAATTTTCAGTTTATTTATTAAGTGACAACTATGTGGAATTCAGAGTATATTATGAAGCCATCAAGTAGGTTCGATGTATTTTACTTAGATAGAAATAACATTTTTTAGAATCTGTCAACTCTTTTACATAATTTTAAATCGAAACTCTGTCAAAGTTCATGTTTGGCCTACTTCACTCAAGAGTTCCAGGCTTGACATGATGTTAGTTGACACCCAAATTCCACATTTAATTATAAAACAACCCCTTCTGTAAATAGGCAACGCCACTACAAGGAACGACAGATCAGTCCGATCACTTTTTGCTTCTTTTATAAATGTTTATTGTATTTTATCAAAAATAGTATACATTTTTGACCTGGTGATATTGGGTCCTCAGGCGTTATTACTTGTTTCCATTCAATCTCAATTACATATTACAACTCACATATAAAAGTCTAATGCTAGATATTAACAAGGAAATCTGCCTGAGCATGCAGCATATTTGACATGCTGCTAAAGCAGTTGTCAACTTTAATAGGAGCATGAGAAACTACAAATCTGACTTTTTGTCTATGAACGTATTACCAACGATATACATGGGCCACATGGAAAACTCTCAGCTGAAGGCTCTCAGCTGCCCAGTCACATAGAACAAAGGAACTGCTTGAGTGTAAACCCAATGGAAGCACAAAGGCGTCCTCAAGTTAACGTATTCTCTGTGCAGCTGTTGCTGCTGCGCCTGATTAAGTTTCGCTTAACTTTCAGCTCGGCACAAAAGCCAATCGATAAGTTTGGCACAGGACAAGCCGCTACAGAAAGGAAGCCACCAGGACAGCAGGCCAGGAAGTCAGTGAGGCAAAATTATGACGCGAAACAAAAGCGAAATGTGAACGAGCTTGAGGCTGGGTAACGCTGCTCCTGTTCCTGATAAGAAATGACAACTGCAGTCGGCACAACACACAGAGCCAGCCAAAGGTTGGGCGAGGATGGCTGCGGAAGATGGCAGCATCAGCATCAGTTTGTCCGTCCATAACAATGAAAGTCATAACAATGAAAGAAACATCACCAAGGAACTCGGGCTGCTTAGCAGCGAGTCTCCCGGCTGACCATCAAGAGTCAGGCGTCAATAAAACGGACAGTTTTTGCCGGTCCTGGTCCATCATTAAGAGCCCACACCAAAGAATATGGCAAAAACTGAAACTGAAAATGAAACTAACCCAGAGACTGTGGACGAGGAGCGTTTAAGTGGCCGGCTGCTCGCTCGTATAGCGAGAATTTCTTGCTTATTGTTTGCATTTTGATAAGTTCTACCAAACACTTTGTTGGCAGCAAGGCCAAGGCTCTCCAGCTTTCACAAAGTATCTTTCGAGTGTGCTGCGGCTGGCCTCCTGCCTTGACCACTCCTCGGTCTGTGTCGTTATTTAATTAAATATCAAGCAAAAAAATTACTGTGTTTTAAAGGTATTTATTTTAAATGTTTGACTCTCGGCGTCGTCTTTTGCTGTTTTGATTTGAACTTCATATTGTTTAATTGCGTTTAATTGCGGTTCTTGTGATTGATTCTGGGTGCTGAAGCTGAATCTAAGGCAAATGTAATTCTTAATTGTGGTTAAAAATAATATTCAGTTAAGTAAATATTGTGAAGCGGTCTGAAAATATCTAATTTATAAACCATATTGTGAATCAGCAATTCTAATGTAAAAGCTAATACGAAAAGTCTTTTAATTTGCGGGTGGAAGGGCAATCGATAATTCTGTAAATAGGGTCGATTGCTTATTAAAGTGACCATCTCGACACACTGTCAAATGCCTCACCATATTCAGTACAAAATTATTTTCACTTTTTTCTAATAATTTAATTTAAAATATCTTGACGAAAGTTTTTATTTACTAGTTTCACAATATGCTAGATTTTATACACTTCGGACCACAGGAAGTTTGTGTTTACAAATATAAACAAAAATCGATCCAAATTTATCATAAGCATTCGTAATTGTGACTAAAACTATTCTGCGTATTAATAAATTAATTCATTTTTATTTTTAATTTAAATTTAAAGAAATTCGTATTAATAAATCGCAAGCGTTACTATCGATAGAGGCGAGAATATCGTCGGGGGTGACTATCGCAAGTTTAACAGCTCTAGCGTATCGCGTCTCAGCGTTTACTTTCAATTAAGAAAATGGTAAGTACCTATCAATAATAATTAAAAGCAGCTTAAGTTTCGAAAAATAGGGGCGTTGCCCATTTTACGTAAGACCTTCTTATTACACAGAAGTATTTCCTGAAAGCTTATCCCTTCTATCCATATGTGTGCTTACTTTACTTTCTCTGCGATTGAGTTTATTCATAAGAAACATTTCAATGTTTCACTGATCTGAATTTATTATCGACATATTTTATTTGTGGATGATCGTTAAACGTTTCCCAAGCCTAACATACATATGTATGTATGTTTGTACATGGGTAATCCTCGTTGATTCAGATTTGATTTCAATGTAAAATACATTTGTATTATCAACAATTGAGCTACTTCAAATTGAATTCGAAACAAAATAATACTTTAATTGACCATCTAACAGACTCGAATAAAGTGAGATTTAAATAATTGTGAGTCACCTTTAATTGGTCAAGCAGCTAACAAGACTGAAACATGGTAAATACCATCAACATGTTTTCACTATTTGCTCGCATATTGTCGTTTCTTATGGTTTATATTTATTATATTCCTACCGCTGCTGCCGTACACAGCCAGCTCCAGTTCAGCAATTTGCCAGCACCCATGGTAGTTTATTTTGTCATTTGCAAAGTCGCCAGACGTTGCATTTTAATTTCCTGCGCTGGATTCTGCAGGCACTGATAGCTGGAGCTGGGCAATGGCAGACACTGCAAAACGCAACTAGAGAAATAAGATAAATATACAAGGAACACTGCTGCTCTGGTCGGGCTGCCCGACTAGTAGATTCCCCGAACCCCGCCAAAACAAACATTCTAGCTTCCTTCTACACAAATACACAAAGTTGTGCATACACTCACACATTTACGCAATAGCGTAAATAATAAGCTGCACTGCTTCTTTCCCAAGCACCTCGCCAAAAGAAATTCTTTCCTAATTTACTCCGGTGTTTATTGTCCCATTTGTATTTAGTTTTCAGGTCTTAACAATGGCACCCATATATGTGGAAACGCTAAAATGCTAAAACTGTGTACATTACATTCCACATTATACATCTCTAACTCTTATACTCTGCAGATTTTGATATTGAACTCGTCGTTTTGAAACAAACTCCTACTGCGGCTCCAAAAGCAGGCCTACATTCAGCATTTCAAGCATGTTCTTAAAGGTTTTCAGAATGAGAATTAGGTTCAGGGTATACAATTGTCTTAAAATATACTGTAAGCTGGCCTGCAGTCAGACTAAATTTTGATATGCACATGAATATTTTACAAAAATTATTCATCTGCCAGTACTATCTTGAACTCGTCCACTACAGTTCGCAGACCAAGTCTAAAATGAAGGCTGAACTCGCTCCATATCAAAGAATTTTGTAATTATGGAAAATTGTTTCTTAAATAGCTTAGATTTTGACTAAGCTAGATATACACAACTTCATTATATTAAGTGTATTGGTAAAATACATTCAAAAATATTAGTTAAGTTACAAGGAGGGTTGATTTTGTTATGAATAAATATAAAACACATTTGTGTTAATTAAAGGCCAACTTTTGATCCCAATGCAGGCTGTTTAGCCTGGGAAAGATATGTGCGAAATATCCCAAACACTTACACGACTACAGATTATACGAAATGCAAGAAAAAGACGTGTTGCTTAAAATGTTACGATTTAATTTGTGCAATTTCCGTGGCACGCCACTGGAGCAGTAAAAAAAAATCTCATCTCTCACGCGGCGTGCTGCGAATGTTGATGTCTGCATTTGGTCGCTTTCCGTTGACATTTAATTTAAAATATTTTTTTTTTTTTGTTTTGTGGAAGTTACTGTTACTGCACTTACCTCTAGCGCGCGGTTTCGTGAGCAGCTTCTGCACAATATTATCGTATGCAATATCCTCAGCCACTCCCGAATCCTTGACGAGCTTCTCCTTAATGGCAATACAAATGTTATGGCGTGCCAGCAACTCTTCTAGTTCCTCAAATGCCTGCAACAACAAGTAGACAGAAATGGAAATTTACTTTGGCGGTGAACGCGCGACGAGCCGCACACGGAGTTGGGCCACATCCGGGACATAAGTGGCGACCAGCTCCTGTGCCGCAATAAAAGCACAGAGCTTTCCGCAAAACAAATATGCAACGCTTCGTGTCACACTACAAAAACTAACAAAAATACTGAACAAAAAATAAAACAAACTTGAATTGAAGCTGTCGAATTGAAACTGTCTCCAGACACGCAATATTCTTAAACCTGGAATCGATTAACCTCTTTGAATGCTTTAAATACCTGCAGTATTGGTCCCAGAAAAAAGGCATTTTAATCAACAAAATTTAGTGCCATAGTAAATATTTATAAAAAATTGTTTTGCTCAAAATGTGTAAAAATTGCATAAATACTTTTTCCCTTTATTGTTTAGTAAAAATTGTTGTTGCGCTGTGCTCACCTTGATGCCATAGTTGCTTTCCTCGTAGATAATCGAAACATAGGTCCAACCCATGCTCTTGACAATCTCAACCATGGCCTTTACCTGGTAGTGGTCGGAGGGAATGGTGCGTGAGAAATACTCAAAGCGCTGCTTGTTGCTCAGCTCCGGGCTGGTTGAGAAATATGAGACCTGCAAAAAATAGATGCACCAGCAAATTTTGATGAAAACTATTCCATTACAGCGAGAACAAAATTGCGCAATAAAAAATGAACTGCAGTTGCCGTTGATTGAAACTGACGAAAAAAAAAATAAAATTGTGTGCTGTGCACTTTTGAATGGTCACAAAGTATGCTCGAGGAAGGCAATGAAAAGACTTTTTGCTTCGCTGCAATTGCCCTTCGGAAATTGCAGATACGCTTAATACAAAATCTCAATAAATATATTTCTTTGTTATCTGCTATCCAAAACAGATAAATACTATTTTTACGAAAACCGATACATTGAACCCAAAATTTAAACCGCTTTGATGACTTCATCATATCTGAAGCCCCGTCAATATTTAATGCAATTCATGAGTCCACCTGTTTGCACATTACCACTCACCGGCGCAAAAGATTTCGAACGAAACGCGTCGGACATTTAATTTAAAGCTTCCATCCAGTTTCTAAATTCATCGTTTAGTTTCTTGGCTTAACCATTCTCCTTGCATAAGTCTTAATAGACCACTGCATCGATAAGCTCAATGCCTAGAAGGACATTAATTCCACAATATTTTTACAAATATAATTAAATTCCGTATTAATTAATTTTTTAATTTTCCCGACTACTTGACGTCTTGTCGTTCATATATATATATATTAAAAATGAAACTTATCTTGCGTTCGTTTGCCGACTCTTGCAAATGCTGAGCCCCATACGTCACACTTGTAGTATAACAACAATTTTTAAATCCAGCAAAAATGCACTCCTCATGATTTTGAAATTCCAGCTACAAGTTTGTGCTCTAAGCACTCGACATTCGCCAACGACCATACCACGCTGAATACATCGGTTCTCGTCCGATCACCGAAATTAAGCAGCGTCGGGCGCGGTTAGTACTTAGATGGGGGACCGCTTGGGAACACCGCGTGTTGTTGGCATCGTCCACAACTTTTTTTATAGCTCGAACAAATTGTATATTACTTCAGGTTATCTATCGTTTAAATTGCTCAATCAGTATCTCATTTTTCTCTATCTAACATTATTTATCTGGTTATATATGGATTAAAGATTTTTTAAAATATAGTTCAGGTAAATTCCGTATTAGTTAATATTTTAATTTTCCCCTTTCCCGACTTCTTGCCGTCTTGTCGTTCTGACTTATATATATTAAAATAGAAACTTTTCTTGCGTTCGTTTGCCGACTTTTGCAAATGCTGAGCCCCAAACGTCACACTTGTAGCATAACAACAATTTTTAAATCCAGCAAAAATGCACTCCTCATGATTATGAAATTCCAGCTACAAGTTTGTGCTCTAAGCACTCGACATTCGCCAACGACCATACCACGCTGAATACATCGGTTCTCGTCCGATCACCGAAATTAAGCAGCGTCGGGCGCGGTTAGTACTTAGATGGGGGACCGCTTGGGAACACCGCGTGTTGTTGGCATCGTCCACAACTTTTTTTATAGCTCGAACAAATTGTATATTACTTCAGGTTATCTATCGTTTAAATTGCTCAATCAGTATCTCATTTTTCTCTATCTAACATTATTTATCTGGTTATATATGGATTAAAGATTTTTTAAAATATAGTTCAGGTAAATTCCGTATTAGTTAATATTTTAATTTTCCCCTTTCCCGACTTCTTGCCGTCTTGTCGTTCTGACTTATATATTAAAATAGAAACTTTTCTTGCGTTCGTTTGCCGACTCTTGCAAATGCTTAGCCCCAAACGTCACACTTGTAGCATAACAACAATTTTTAAATCCAGCAAAAATGCACTCCTCATGATTTTGAAATTCCAGCTACAAGTTTGTGCTCTAAGCACTCGACATTCGCCAACGACCATACCACGCTGAATACATCGGTTCTCGTCCGATCACCGAAATTAAGCAGCGTCGGGCGCGGTTAGTACTTAGATGGGGGACCGCTTGGGAACACCGCGTGTTGTTGGCATCGTCCACAACTTTTTTTATAGCTCGAACAAATTGTATATTACTTCAGGTTATCTATCGTTTAAATTGCTCAATCAGTATCTCATTTTTCTCTATCTAACATTATTTCTCTGGTTATATATGGATTAAAGATTTTTTAAAATATAGTTCAGGTAAATTCCGTATTAGTTAATATTTTAATTTTCCCCTTTCCCGACTTCTTGCCGTCTTGTCGTTCTGACTTATATATTAAAATAGAAACTTTTCTTGCGTTCGTTTGCCGACTCTTGCAAATGCTGAGCCCCAAACGTCACACTTGTAGCATAACAACAATTTTTAAATCCAGCAAAAATGCACTCCTCATGATTATGAAATTCCAGCTACAAGTTTGTGCTCTAAGCACTCGACATTCGCCAACGACCATACCACGCTGAATACATCGGTTCTCGTCCGATCACCGAAATTAAGCAGCGTCGGGCGCGGTTAGTACTTAGATGGGGGACCGCTTGGGAACACCGCGTGTTGTTGGCATCGTCCACAACTTTTTTTATAGCTCGAACAAATTGTATATTACTTCAGGTTATCTATCGTTTAAATTGCTCAATCAGTATCTCATTTTTCTCTATCTAACATTATTTCTCTGGTTATATATGGATTAAAGATTTTTTAAAATATAGTTCAGGTAAATTCCGTATTAGTTAATATTTTAATTTTCCCCTTTCCCGACTTCTTGCCGTCTTGTCGTTCTGACTTATATATTAAAATAGAAACTTTTCTTGCGTTCGTTTGCCGACTCTTGCAAATGCTTAGCCCCAAACGTCACACTTGTAGCATAACAACAATTTTTAAATCCAGCAAAAATGCACTCCTCATGATTTTGAAATTCCAGCTACAAGTTTGTGCTCTAAGCACTCGACATTCGCCAACGACCATACCACGCTGAATACATCGGTTCTCGTCCGATCACCGAAATTAAGCAGCGTCGGGCGCGGTTAGTACTTAGATGGGGGACCGCTTGGGAACACCGCGTGTTGTTGGCATCGTCCACAACTTTTTTTATAGCTCGAACAAATTGTATATTACTTCAGGTTATCTATCGTTTAAATTGCTCAATCAGTATCTCATTTTTCTCTATCTAACATTATTTCTCTGGTTATATATGGATTAAAGATTTTTTAAAATATAGTTCAGGTAAATTCCGTATTAGTTAATATTTTAATTTTCCCCTTTCCCGACTTCTTGCCGTCTTGTCGTTCTGACTTATATATTAAAATAGAAACTTTTCTTGCGTTCGTTTGCCGACTCTTGCAAATGCTGAGCCCCAAACGTCACACTTGTAGCATAACAACAATTTTTAAATCCAGCAAAAATGCACTCCTCATGATTATGAAATTCCAGCTACAAGTTTGTGCTCTAAGCACTCGACATTCGCCAACGACCATACCACGCTGAATACATCGGTTCTCGTCCGATCACCGAAATTAAGCAGCGTCGGGCGCGGTTAGTACTTAGATGGGGGACCGCTTGGGAACACCGCGTGTTGTTGGCATCGTCCACAACTTTTTTTATAGCTCGAACAAATTGTATATTACTTCAGGTTATCTATCGTTTAAATTGCTCAATCAGTATCTCATTTTTCTCTATCTAACATTATTTCTCTGGTTATATATGGATTAAAGATTTTTTAAAATATAGTTCAGGTAAGGTAAATTCCGTATTAGTTAATATTTTAATTTTCCCCTTTCCCGACTTCTTGCCGTCTTGTCGTTCTGACTTATATATTAAAATAGAAACTTTTCTTGCGTTCGTTTGCCGACTCTTGCAAATGCTTAGCCCCAAACGTCACACTTGTAGCATAACAACAATTTTTAAATCCAGCAAAAATGCACTCCTCATGATTTTGAAATTCCAGCTACAAGTTTGTGCTCTAAGCACTCGACATTCGCCAACGACCATACCACGCTGAATACATCGGTTCTCGTCCGATCACCGAAATTAAGCAGCGTCGGGCGCGGTTAGTACTTAGATGGGGGACCGCTTGGGAACACCGCGTGTTGTTGGCATCGTCCACAACTTTTTTTATAGCTCGAACAAATTGTATATTACTTCAGGTTATCTATCGTTTAAATTGCTCAATCAGTATCTCATTTTTCTCTATCTAACATTATTTCTCTGGTTATATATGGATTAAAGATTTTTTAAAATATAGTTCAGGTAAATTCCGTATTAGTTAATATTTTAATTTTCCCCTTTCCCGACTTCTTGCCGTCTTGTCGTTCTGACTTATATATATTAAAATAGAAACTTTTCTTGCGTTCGTTTGCCGACTCTTGCAAATGCTTAGCCCCAAACGTCACACTTGTAGCATAACAACAATTTTTAAATCCAGCAAAAATGCACTCCTCATGATTTTGAAATTCCAGCTACAAGTTTGTGCTCTAAGCACTCGACATTCGCCAACGACCATACCACGCTGAATACATCGGTTCTCGTCCGATCACCGAAATTAAGCAGCGTCGGGCGCGGTTAGTACTTAGATGGGGGACCGCTTGGGAACACCGCGTGTTGTTGGCATCGTCCACAACTTTTTTTATAGCTCGAACAAATTGTATATTACTTCAGGTTATCTATCGTTTAAATTGCTCAATCAGTATCTCATTTTTCTCTATCTAACATTATTTCTCTGGTTATATATGGATTAAAGATTTTTTAAAATATAGTTCAGGTAAATTCCGTATTAGTTAATATTTTAATTTTCCCCTTTCCCGACTTCTTGCCGTCTTGTCGTTCTGACTTATATATATTAAAATAGAAACTTTTCTTGCGTTCGTTTGCCGACTCTTGCAAATGCTTAGCCCCAAACGTCACACTTGTAGCATAACAACAATTTTTAAATCCAGCAAAAATGCACTCCTCATGATTTTGAAATTCCAGCTACAAGTTTGTGCTCTAAGCACTCGACATTCGCCAACGACCATACCACGCTGAATACATCGGTTCTCGTCCGATCACCGAAATTAAGCAGCGTCGGGCGCGGTTAGTACTTAGATGG